TCGATTGGTAATAAATTAAATTAATTTCCCCAAGTCGAGTCTGTTTTGCCCGTGACGGTAATCGGTGAGTGATCTCTCCCTGTCCTTATCTCGACCCACGAGCCTTTCGTTATATTTTCTCTCCCCTCTCCGGCTGAGGAGGGCAGGGATAGAGCGGCTTTGGTGGGCACCAGCGCCCAGCCAGGGTCAACCCACCAGCGAATCCCAGTTGATCAGGAGAACGATGCACGTTATTTTGGCAATTAAGTATTATTACCTTTATTGGTTTTGGTCAGATGGATGCGCTGGTACTGTCAACATTTTTGACGTAATGGTAGATGGAAGGACTTGTGGTGAAATCTGGTTTCTGCCTTGGCTAATATTTGTGCCTAAAGTAACTTTGGGTGTGAACCAAAGGTGGTATGGCTGAACACAGAGTTGTGAGTCTCAACCCCAGCCTGGGTGAGGATTAGTGCCTTTTTCTTGGCAGTACAAAGGGAATCAATGATATCTTTAACTTTTGTGTAAGAAACCTTATCGCTGAAGTGTCAGAAGTAAAACCTTGCTTTTGCAGCTTCAAAAATGCAGGTGGTTGTTACTGGAGCTCTGTTAGGACCAGCTCACTGATGTCAGTTTGAACTGCTGAGCGCGAAGCACTGTGAAAATCCAGCCCACCAAGATTTTGGGTATTGCTAGGATGGATCCTTAAGAGGAGGGGAATGTGTTCTGGTATTTTTTTTTTTTTCTTTGTGTTAAAATGACCTTTTCAGGTTAATTAGTTGATATTTTTTCCCCCACTTTGCGCTTTATCATTATGTATCTCCAACTGAGTTTGTAAATTCACACCTTGTTGACAAGAACATTATTCTGGGGAGTAGTGATCACAGCTTTGCTGGTAATGTGTCCAACCAACAGCATCTATCAGGTCCTGGTGAGACAGGAGCGCTGCACTGGAAAAAGCAACAAATGGAGCTATCTAGATAAAGGGATAAATGTGATCATATGCTGTATTTCAGATGTCATCACACTCTTCAGATTTTGGGAACTGCATTTTTTGTAAAAAAGCCCCCTTAAACACTTAAAACTTCAGATTTTTTTAAAAACTTGCAGACATAAGCCTGCCCAAAAGGCTCAAAGCTCAAAAACATTTAACACGATTATTTTAATGGAAGTGTAGATTCTCACAGTAACTGGTGGCTACAGGAGCTAGGATTATTAAAAAGTCATGCAAATACAATTGCAACAGCAATAAAATTACAAAGCTCTAAATATGCCGTACGATGCTCAGGACACTTCTCAGAACTTTCTCCAGTACAGGAAAGAACCTAAATTTGAAAAAATGTATGTTTATAGGCAATTTAAAAATTTTCATTCGGTAGATTTCGGCGCTTTGACAAGTGAAGGTAGACATGTTGAAAATAAAGAGGTCTCATGCTCTCCAATTTAAAAATACTCACTAGTACAAAAAGATGTTGAAATTTGATTAAAATCTTACGTGGTAAAAAATTGTACTCATGTGGTGTGTGAAACAGTGCGCAAAGATAATTCACGTGTGCTGGAGTCCCATCAGTGACCTCAGCTGTGGAGCCATGTGGACCTATCGCATTGATGGCTTTGCACTTTTCCACTCTCGTATTTAGTTCACTAATGCAGATGGTTATTTTGGCATCCCAAGTGCTTGATCCTCTTCCAATAGTTGACATCCTCTCAGTGCATTAATTCCTTTCTGGCATTATGATGATAAGGTATTGATGAAAAAACTTGGAAGATTAAGACTTGAATTGAGTAAGAGTAGGACTAACCTTAATTAATGCGTGTTACTGTTTCTTAGATGACAGTTTATCTGCTCTTAATTAATGTTGTTCAAAGTACATTATAGATATGTGATTATAGACTTATTTAAAAAGGCAATGGTGAGTAGCTGTCGTGATCCAACAAAAGGTATACTTAGATGGCAAGAGAAAAAAGGTAGTTACCAGTATGGCTAAGTCATCTGCACCCCAGGAATCAAAGGAGATGACTGCTGGCTGCAGTTGACCTCTCTGTCACTGAATCAAATGGAAATTGAACCGAGCAGCCTAGTGAATCTTTTTCAATTTTGCCAGCTTTTATTGACTCCCGTAATTGTCCTAATGAGACACTGCATTTAAGTTGTCTAGTCTCTCCCACCCGCTATTTTTTCTCTAGATTTTCTGAAAGTCTATTTTTTACATGGGCTGTTCTCATATGCAGTTCTTTACATTAACAGTTTTAAAATGACAGTTCTTCTATATCTTTTTTAAAATGTTCTCTGGGGAATTATGCTTCAAACAGGGAAATTGTATGTTTCATTATCAGAAAGGTTTCAGGCTTTATCAGAGTCTTTTTGTTATAGTTGTCATGGAGGTTTTTATTATTATTGTTAAATTGAATAATGGGGAGGAACCTGTTCTTAAGTCTTTGTACAAGAACTAAAATTTAAATCCTGATAAATCTGCTCTGTTTGCAAAAGTGACTTTTTAAGGTTAACTGCTTTTAGTTACAATCATTAGAAGTGCAGCTTTGTTACTTTATCTGAGTTAGATAGCAAGGGCTTTTGCAGCTGTAATAAGGGAAGATTGAACCCAACTTTTAAATGTAGGTTGAATATCTGGTAGTTATTTTTCAGGGACTGTTATTTCTTGGTAATCAGAAGAAACCCTCCCTTAACCTCTCAGGGCTGCTACAGGACCCTAGCAGGGACGAAGTCTTTTGGTAGTGGCATGGAAAAAGATGCTTCAAAAAGACCTGGAGGTGGATTTTCTTTGTAGTAAGTACAAAATGCTTCCTTTTGGGTGGGGAGTGAGATGCTCCCCAGGCGGAGCAGGTCGGACATGTCACCGTGTTCATGGTCCTTAACTAGGACAGGCTGAGCAGATGTTGCTGGCGCTGCTCATTCTCCTGAACTGCAGTAGCTCGGTGATTTGAGCCAACTAACTGTGGACCGCTTTTCTGGCTTTACCTGGTTAATACAGGCGGTGCCAGTGCCAGTGCCGGAGCATCCTCACCCGCGGCTCACTGATGCTGTCGCCAGTTGGCATCACCTCTACAGAAGCGTGCTCTGCACCAGCAGCTCAGCTGGAGTACCATGAAGCTGGAAAAATCGCTGTACTGGAGACGGGATGCTAATTATTATTCTGCCGGAACTCAGTATTATTCATAGCCATCAAACATCCCTGGGACGGCAACAGCTCCCGATTTCTTGGGGCTGGGATGGAATCTGAATAAGCAATAAAGAGATTAAAAGCTTGGATCTGAGTGAGCTCTTGCAGCTGGGAGTCACGGCAGCAAGAAAAGGAGAGGCAGCGGAGTGTAACCTTTTTGAAATCGTGGTCAAATTCAACAAATAGTTTTGAAATAGTTTTGTCTAAAAAAAGAAAGTAGAGGAATATTCTGAAAAAGTAAAAAAAAATAAATTAATTTCAGCATATTCAGGCTACCCCAGACTTTAGGGAGCTTCCAGTTCAGAGAAAGCATGAAATGTAAATACTTTATATAATGCTTACTGTGACCATCATACTCATTATGCCTATGAAATGCATCATTTTTTCCTTTGGATGCTGAAATTTGTTGACAGTCAGGAATAAGAAGAGTCCCCCAGGATTGTTTTGGTGTTACACTATGGGAACTTTCCTTGTAATTACCACAGTAAGGCAAAATGCAGTAGGCATTTTAAAATAACAAGTTTAGATACTAACCTTTTTCAAAGGCTTTGATGAAAGATGTGAAAAATTGGAATTCATTATAATATTTCTAATTTCCTGACATTAAAATAGGAAAGACTTTCTCAAAGTGCATCTTCTCACATAGTTATTGTCAAATGTCCTAGTTTAACAAAGGTCCCTTTACTCTATGCGTGCCAATGAACTTAACTATTGAATTTATAAATCGTTGCTAAAATATGCTCTACAAAAGGAAAGGATTTCTTTCTGTGTATACATTGCTGTCATACAATTAATTACTGTGGTATAAATGCCTGAATGAGTTTGGTCTAAAGGTGCATAAATACATTTAAATGGATTTAAAATTAGGACTGTTAAAACACAAATCCCCTAAGAGCATTTTGGGGTAAAATTAAATTCAGGACACACATAGAATATAAAAAACTATATACACACACACACACGCGTGCGCGATTTCAACATTGTCATTGTTTGTTTTGTATTTAAAGTCATAAGAAAGCATAAAAATAATTCTTAAAGCAATTTCTAAGACCGTAGGGAAGGTAAACAAAAGCATCTGAATGCTGTTTACCCTTGAGAAGAACAGGCAGAATTCTGGTTTGGTGCCAGTTTGTTTATTTTTCTGTGGGTGGGGTTGTTTGGGGGGAGGGTATCATCAACTTGAAAGACCCTAACCAAAACCATTCTTCAAGGCTTTGTTTAAAGACACAATGAGACAGTCCCTGCTCCAAAGAATTTACCATCTAAGCAGAAAAAAAAACAAAGGGATTGGAGGAAAGATGTATTATCTCCCTCTTGCAGATGGAAAACTGAGAGGCGTAACAGATTAAGTGAATTGCCTCTGATCGTTTAAGACAATCTGTGAGCGCTGTGCAGTGAACTTCGATAACGTAAGCCCCCGTGAGAGCCACGGCCAAAAAACCATCCTTCCCCATCCGGACGATGGGGGAGAAGGGAGCGTTCTCTGACGGGGTGCAATTTCTTTTCCTTCTTCCTTGATTCTAGGGCTTGATATTCACGCACTGATTTCCTTGGCATCCTCCACACCGCTCCTAGTATCTCCAAGGCAAAAGCCTTCCCTTGGGAGGAATAGTGGGTTGTGACAGCTCTGGTTTGTTTTCCCAGCGTGTTTCTTACTGTCAGGCGAACGTGTTGACAGTAAGCCAGGTAATAAAGATTAACAGTGGGTGAAAAGGGTAGTTCTTAAGCACCTGTTGCCGTTTACTGATAAAATTGGGTATAAAACTGAAAGGATCAAAATATCAGTATAGGAAGAAGTTAATGCCATTCCCTTTAGAAAAGAAAAAAAGGAAGGGGAAAAAAGTAATGGCGTGGAGTCACAATACAGCATGTCCAAGGAGGGAGCAAGGCTAAAGCAGATGGGAGATGGAGATGAATTAAGGAGACAGTGACACAGATGGGATCAATCAGGAGGCAAATGAGGAAGATGATAAATGAGAGAGGAGCTGGCTGTGGGGAAGGGAGAGTGGTAGGAGAAGATCAGCAGAAGGGATATGAAGAGCAGCATGGGGGAAAGAGCACGTTCTTATCAGGTAAGCGATAGTCCAAACTGACTTGGGGTAATTGCTGTTGTTGCAAGATGAATATTCAGATACTGTAATGTACTGTATTTATAGGATATGTTTTTCTAAAGGAAAATATTATCAGAAGATAATCTCAGTGAAAAAGGCCCTTCAGCTTTCCTCTCCAGAGATATTTCCAGTGCTCTTAAAACAAGAGTTCGAAAGTTCCCAAAGAAAGTTCCTCTCTTGCCATGAAGTATCTGAGACCTGAATTTCTCCCCAGGAATTCCCGTCTGTCATCTTCTGGCTCTTAAGACCCCGCAAATCTGTATGTTAAACAGCCCCTTGGATGGGCAGAAGAAACTTCTATTCAATGCAGTAGTTGTCATCTTGCACACTGATGTGCAACTTTGCTAGGACCCTGTTCTGGGCCTTGGGAGCTGAATGGAAGTTTTGGCATTAATGAGTCTAAGTTAGTAGGAGCAACAGAAATTCAGGTACTGGTTGGTTTTTTTTTAGTGGAGTATGAAGTGTATCACGTACAGCTTAGAGAAGGTTTTCACTTGAGAGGAGGAAACAGAGCACTTTGGGGTTCATGCTGTGAATTTTCTACAAAAAATGACTTTAAATGCACTTTTCGTAATTCATGACTTTATTTATTTTAAAAAAGGATGCATTATTAAATTTGGTTTTGTCTGTGCAAACAAACATGAATTATTTTGCTAGCTCAAGTGTCTTCTCAGTCACCCATAAATAAGAAAATGACTTGAAAGTACAATTGATCAAAAATGATGCATTGAGACCTACAAGGAGACCATTGAATTCGGAGTTCTGTCAGGTCATGAATTTCTCACTCATCCACAGAAAGCCTTTCTCCTTCAAAACTGCATTTCATAATAATATCTTTGTTTTCTGCAAATGATGCAATAATTCAGATAAATCTGCGCTCATTGAGGAAAAATAGAAATGAATTGTGTGTGACGTGTAATGAATTTCCAGCCTATTCAGAGGGAAGAGGTAAACAGGTCTGATAGCTGGCTCGTGGTTTCTCCCTGATGAATAAGGGTCTGTCCGGTGGGTGCTGGGCAGGGCAGATGAGAAATCTTTCCAAGTGCATTAAAAATGAACTGAGGCGATCCCGGGGAGGAACATCTGGGATGCCCTTGTCCTTTGTGCTGGCTTTTCTCTTTCAACCACCCGGAGGGTTAGGATCATGCATGCTGCAGATGAGGATCCCAGGCTGTGGCTGGGCTCTCTCCCCATGGTGGGAGCTCTCGGGAGAAGGTGCTGGGGCTGAGCTGCTCCCCATGTTCCCAGGGAGAAGGTGCTGGGCTGCAGCAGCTCTGCTGCGTGGGGACGGGGGTGCTGGCTCCGGCACGGCTTGCTCTCCTTCTCGAGGTTCTGAGGCTGCTTGTACGGGCTGGAAATAAGACGGAGAGTTTCTTGCACAATCATATCCAAGCAGCAGCAGGGGAAGGAAGGGTCTTGCATCCTTGCAAGTTTGGGGGATTTCTGTCTTCAAAGTGAGTTTGATTCAAATTTTGTTGAAAACCACTTATGTTTGCTTAAGAAATAATATGAGGTTACTGTTTCCCAGACTGTTCTTTTCTGTTTTTTTTTAATTTTTTTTATTTTAGCAAGATT